TAAATAAACGAGAAGATTTTTGGGAATGGTAGGTTACTACAGAGGATTTTGTGAGAATTTTGCCACAGTAGTTTCTCCACTAACTAACCGCCTGAGTCGCTCTAAGAAGTTCATATGGAGTGCAGAGTGTGCCGATGCTTTTGCTGCTGCAAAGGACATTATGTGTAATGCCCCTCTGCTTGCTGCCCCCAACTTCACCTTGCCTTTTCAACTGCAAATAGATGCCAGTGCAACTGGAGTAGGAGCAGTTCTCCTGCAGGAAGATGCTTCTGGTGTAGACCACCCAGTATGCCATTTCTCCAGAAAACTTTCCAAGTGTCAGCAGAATTACAGCACCATAGAGAAGGAGACCTTAGCTCTCCTCATGGCTCTGCAACATTTTGAAGTTTATGTTGGAGGTAGTTGTACCCCGGTGTTAGTTTATACTGACCACAATCGTCTGACCTTCTTATCTCGAATGTGTAATTCTAATCAATGCCTGATGCGCTGGTCCCTCATTGTGCACGAGTACAACTTAGATATTTGTCATAAAAAGGTTTCAGAAAATGTCATTGCAGATGCACTGTCTAGAACCAATAGTGCAGACAGCTGACCTGTGGATACTTAGCCCCTTTGTATGTGAGTACATGTTTTGTTGAATTATTACAAATTAAAATCTGTAATTTATGGGTGGGGGTGTTACGTCCCAGGACGTATGTCATTTTTGCTAATGCCATTGTTGTTAATACTGTGAATCTCTGTGAATCTGGCAAGCCGATAGTCAGTCCAGTCACACACACACACAGGGTGTGATTTGTAGGGGGGATGGGGGGATTTCCCCCCTTCTGGTCAATGTATCCCTCTGCTGAATTATATTTATCCCCAGTGGGGATTTAAAAAAAATATCCCCCTGGGTGATGCTACTATGCTACTAGCTCATGAGTCATGGATGCTACCAAGACAAATTAACCATATTTGTCTTTTGTGTTACGTCCCAGGACGTATGTCATTTTTGTTAATGCCATTGTTGTTAATACTGTGAATCTCTGTGTGTGACTTTGTTTCCCTTATGCCTAACAGCCTGCTGGGAAGTGTAGTTTTTGCCTGTTTTCCTCTATTCCTCTCTGTCCTTTCACAGAAGCTTAATTGATGTTACCTGTTCCTCATCAGAGCTGTGAAGAGGAGCTTGTATTTGAACAGAGGGAACGGGCTGTTCATCAGAGAGAACTTGGTCTGTCTGTTTTCCCAGATCTCGTTGAAGATTGTGTGCTCTGAGCTCTAATGCTTGTTTAAGAAAGCCTGTTGTACTTGTTGAATATTGTGTGCTCAGAGCCTTAGTGCTTCAAGAAAGCCTGTTGTACCGGCTGTAGTGATTATTAGTTATTTTTGCCTGCGGACGCAGTAAGGAGGTGGGTGCCACTTTTATTTTATCAATACTTGCTTTTCTCCTGATTTTGTTGGGACAGTGAGGAAGTCAAGGAAGAGACATGTTGTTTATTTTGATGTTTTGTTTGATAGGTAAGTTAGATTCCCTTACTCCCAGGTAGCATCCTCTTTTTGTTTATTTTGGCCTTAACCCCCTCCTGAAGTTAGAAGCGTCTTATATTTTCTTTTTGAATTATCCATACTGTTAAACCTTTAATTTCCCTTCCCTCTAACTGCTGTACAAAGACTAAGTAAATAAAATCTTGAAGAGTTTCCATGTGTGTGTGAGTGCTGGCATTGCAGATAGAGCCAACACTCTCTCACTTTTTTTTGCCCATTGGTTGTTACGTTCAATAAAACGTTTTCATTCCTCTTTAGTTGCTGCCTTATGCTAAACAATTTTAAGTTTCTTTTTTTTCCACATCAATCTACACTCCACACACTATAATGACAAAGCAAATTCAGAATTGTCAACTTCATAAATGTATAAAAAAAAAAAAAACTGAATTAAGTACGTTGCATAGGTATTCATACCATTAACTCAGTACTTAGTTGAAGCACCTTTACAGCCTAAAGTCTTTTTGGTATGATGCAACAAGCTTTGAAGATTAGCATTTGGCCATTCTTTCTCACCTCTCAAGCTCTGTCAGCTTGGATGGGGCAGATGCACATTTTCAGGTTTCTCGAGAAATATCTGATTGGGTTCAAGCCCAGGCTGTGGCTGGGCGACTCAAGGAGATTCACAGAGTTGTCTATAAGACACGCTGTGTGCTTAGGGTCATCTGTGTGTGACTTTGTTTCCCTTATGCCTAACAGCCTGCTGGGAAGTGTAGTTTTTGCCTGTTTTCCTCTATTCCTCTCTGTCCTTTCACAGAAGCTTAATTGATGTTACCTGTTCCTCATCAGAGCTGTGAAGAGGAGCTTGTATTTGAACAGAGGGAACGGGCTGTTCATCAGAGAGAACTTGGTCTGTCTGTTTTCCCAGATCTCGTTGAAGATTGTGTGCTCTGAGCTCTAATGCTTGTTTAAGAAAGCCTGTTGTACTTGTTGAATATTGTGTGCTCAGAGCCTTAGTGCTTCAAGAAAGCCTGTTGTACCGGCTGTAGTGATTATTAGTTATTTTTGCCTGCGGACGCAGTAAGGAGGTGGGTGCCACTTTTATTTTATCAATACTTGCTTTTCTCCTGATTTTGTTGGGACAGTGAGGAAGTCAAGGAAGAGACATGTTGTTTATTTTGATGTTTTGTTTGATAGGTAAGTTAGATTCCCTTACTCCCAGGTAGCATCCTCTTTTTGTTTATTTTGGCCTTAACCCCCTCCTGAAGTTAGAAGCGTCTTATATTTTCTTTTTGAATTATCCATACTGTTAAACCTTTAATTTCCCTTCCCTCTAACTGCTGTACAAAGACTAAGTAAATAAAATCTTGAAGAGTTTCCATGTGTGTGTGAGTGCTGGCATTGCAGATAGAGCCAACACTCTCTCACTTTTTTTTGCCCATTGGTTGTTACGTTCAATAAAACGTTTTCATTCCTCTTTAGTAGCATATGTTACTCCCCTGTCACCCGTAGACAAAAAGGGTATGTAACATTTGTCTTTTGGATAACGTTAATTAGCTGTAAATTCGAGGCACAGCTACATTGGCCTTTTGTTCACCACTCACTTCAACATCAAGAGAAACACAACTGGAAAGGGAGGGAGGGCTTCACTGCTGCGGCTCTCTGCTTGTCTATGATGTGCTGATCAATGTGTGCTACACTGCTGTTCTGTGTGTGTGTATATATATATGTGTGTGTGTGTGTGTGTGTATATATACTGAATTAAGTACGTTGCATAGGTATTCATACCATTAACTCAGTACTTAGTTGAAGCACCTTTACAGCCTAAAGTCTTTTTGGTATGATGCAACAAGCTTTGAAGATTAGCATTTGGCCATTCTTTCTCACCTCTCAAGCTCTGTCAGCTTGGATGGGGCAGATGCACATTTTCAGGTTTCTCGAGAAATATCTGATTGGGTTCAAGCCCAGGCTGTGGCTGGGCGACTCAAGGAGATTCACAGAGTTGTCTATAAGACACGCTGTGTGCTTAGGGTCATTGTCCTGTTTGAAGGTAAACCTTCTGCCCAGTCTGAGGTTCTGAATGCTCTGGACTGTTTTCATTCAGGATCTCTCAATATTTAGGTGCATTGAGCTTTTCTTCTACTCTTACGAGTTCCTCAGTCCCTGCCACTGAAAAACAACCCCTCAGGATGAGGCTGCTACCAGCACACTTTACTTTGCTACTCCGCAGATGAGGAGCAGTGCCAGGTTTCCTTCATACGTGATGCTTGGAATTGAGGTTCATCAGACCAGAGAATCTTTTTTTTCACAATCTGAGCGTTCTTTAGGTGTTTTTTTTTTTTTTGCAAATTCCAAGTGTGTTCATGTGTCTTCACTGAGGAGAGGACTGAGTTTGGCCACACCGCCATAAAGCCCAGATCGGCGGAGTGTTGCAGTGATGTTTCTCCTATCTCCACATATGATCATAGAGCTCAACTAGAGTGACCATCAGGTTCTTGGTCACCAGTGTAACCAAGGCCCTTCTCCATTGACTGCTAAGTTTGGCCAGGAGGCCAGCTCTAGGAAGAGTCCTGGTTCTTTCAAAGTTCTTCCCCTAAGAGTAACGTTGACTACATGCTTCTGCAAACCTTCAATGTAGCAGATTTTTTTTCTGAACTCTTCCCCAGATGTGTGGCTTGACACAATCCTATTTGTGAGCTCTACAGGCAGCATTTTTAACCTCAGGGCTTGGTTTTTGCTCTGATACGCATTTTCAGCTGTTAGATCTTTTATTCAGATGTGTGTGCCTTTCCAAATCATACCCATTCAGTTGAATTTGCCACAGGTTAACTTCACTCAAAGTGTAGTAACATCTGCAAGCAATATGAATGCTCCTGAGCTAAATTTTAACTATCCCAGATAAGGGTATGAAGACTTATGCATTGGAATCATTTAAGTTTTTAATAAATTTGCAAAGATGTTTAAACCTTTTTTTTGCTTTGCCATTATGGTGTATGGAGAGTAGATTGACGTGGGGAAAAAAATAAATTTTAAAGCATTTTAACATAAGGCAGCAACAAAAAATGTGAAAAAATGAAGGCTCTGTATATTGTTCAAGCATTAAAATGAGTGAAGCTGTTTTGAAACAATCTGTATTCTATAAAGTGCTATAAAATAAAACTACTTGACTTTTTTTTTTTTTAAGTGTGTTTGTTTAGGGTTGGAAAGTGGACTGGCTTGGAGACCTCCTTTGTTAAACATTGTGTGCCTACTGACCAAGTCGTACAATAGGTCACAACATTTTTTATGCCTCTTATTTGACAGTTCAGATCTAGCTGAAGTCATGAATTAGTCTGCTAATCAACTGATAATTTAATTCAGATGTGCAAATATGGAGAGATCCTAAATGTGCAGTGCCAGGGAGTACAAGAATAACATGTTTGGGAACTTTCACCTATCAGAATCATAGTACCTGTAGAAATGACGTCAAGTGATGTGCTTATCTGACTATAATTACTGATGTGTTTGAACCTGTATTCAGTTTTGTTGTCTGAAACCGAGGCAACTTTTGATGATCACTTCATCAATTGAAATCGCACAACTTGAATTCAGTAACACTTTATCAGTTTTTTGAACATCTCAACTTCTGGTCTCCATTCCTCATACAGGCCCAACCCCAGACAGCTTCTTCATTGTAGCCTCTGATGAACCAACACATAAGGTGGGTAAATTATAGCTTTATCTGGTGGGGGTAAAAAGAGTAAAGTATGAGTGATGGGCCCACAGGAGGAGTGTTTTTAATTCCCTAGTGAGGGAATAGCATGTTAGTTATAACATTGGTTGGATAAAACTGTTTAAGGTCTTCATCATTAAATCCATATCTATATTAAATACAAATTACTGTTACATTCCAGTAGTTTACGCCATACAATATTTTGACAGTTTAATTGTTGTAAAACAGCCACGCTAATGTAATTAATTACAGCAGTTAAACTATATGTGAAAATAGTGCATGATATAAACTACTGAGGTTTTACAGTAATTTTGGATATGGATTTTAAGGATAAGTTTTATTCTACAGATTAATTTTTTTAATTGTTTTTCTTTTGAGACTTATTATTAAATCGGTAAAATTATATTTACATTATTGTAGATATACAGAGATGTGTTTATCTTTTGCAAATTTTTATAGGAGGTTTAAAATATTCTCCCTTAAATGATGATTGTTGTTGTTGTTGTTGTTTATTATTATTATTATTATTATTACACTCAACTCTTTCTCTTTCATAAGAAGTACAGAAGGTTTTATTTCGTAATAATCATTTATGTGCCAACAAAGCACATCTGTTTAAGCTAGTTCTAATACTTGTGTAATTTATGGTGTTCAATTTAAGAAAGTTGTACAATGTTTTACAATTCTGTGTTTTAATATACAGATTAATAATATGTTGGAAAGGTCAAGTGGGTAGACAATATAATGCATTAAGAGCAGCAGAGGAACAGGTGTAAACAGCATTCATTGAGAATATAACATAAAGATCTCAGAAAAGAAGTTGTGTTATACAGCCACAGAGAGTAATGCACATGTAATCAGGATTTATTAGCCTAAGGCAGGGGTGTCAAACTCAGTTCCTGGAGGGCCGCAGCCCTGCAGAGTTTTGTTCCAAAACTCCCTGGTGCAAGACATATACCATGTAGTTTTCAAATAAGCCTGAAGTACTTGATTAGCTGGATCAGGTGTGTTTAATTAGGGTTGAAGCTAAACTCTGCAGGGCTGTGGCCTTCCAGGAACTGAGTTTGACACCCCTGGCCTAAGGGGTTGTTAACTCCTCTTACGGAAATGTTTTGATAGATAGGGATGCACCGGTACTGCGCTCCTGTACTCGTAAAAATGACCCGGTACCTAAATCCGATACCACACAGCATGTGAATAGAGCTGTGTCCAGAAAAAGAAACACCGACAACAGAACAGAGAGTAGAATGGCGTTATTAGAGATTAAGGATGTCTATGAAGTACATGTAAGTAATTAATGTTAGACATTCAATATCCACGCCTGTATAGCGGATGTGCGCGAGCTAAGCAGAGTGCGCTGAGTCGATTGAGTGGGTGCCGGCAGAGATGCTCGAGTTTGTCGAGTGAATATCTCACAGACATTACTAGAATATTTGTAGTTAAAAGCAATGTTAAAAGCAAGTAAGTCAAATAAAGCACAAGTTACTACAGTTATTTGATGGTAAAGAGAGAGAGAATCAGAGAACGCGCACTTCTGTTGCATGATCTTGATTGCTGTTCGCTCCATTAGCGCATGCATTTCGATTAAAACGAAATGGAAAATATAAAACAAATTATAGTGGCATTCTCTATAAACATTTATTTTAAACGTCAAGCATACACAACTTTATTTAAAGCAAAACTGAAACTAACAGACTGTGTGAAAAGCGCTAGGCTATAAGTGTCTCTCTCATTCTGTATCAATACAAACGTGTGCGCGCTGCGCATGTTTAGCTTGCTTTAAAGGCCAAAGTATACTTTGGTTTTTACCCTCCATGCGAGGGTCCGCATACAGTGTGTGTGATGCAAATTGCATCACCAAAATAGTACGCACGTACTCGTACAATGTATAATGAGCTGTTCCCTGCATTATTCTAGGAAAACATCTTGTGATTACAGTACTGAGCTGCTGCTGCAATGGAGCAGCTCTAATGTGCCATTAAAATGAACAGTGAAAGTAAGAAAAGCTTATACAATACATTTTAACAGGTAAAATTAAGTGTGGAAATAACTAAAGGAAATATCTGCCAACTAATATGATTCTTATTCTTATTCTTATTCTTATTCTTATTATTATTTTGTTTCTTTACCCAATATTTTTTTTTTTAATTACAAATGCTGTGAAAATACAGGTATCTGTATCGAACTCGTTCTGAAAAAAGTGGTATCTGTGAATCCCTATTGATAGATAGCCAAGAAAACCAGTTCTGCTGGTTTCAACTCGTACAAAAAAAATTATTTTGAAATTGCTGAAAAAAATAAAGACAAAAAACAGCCTTATATTTAAATGTTTTATATACAAATGCAAATCTAATGGCAAAAGATTGATACTTTTACTGCAGCCTTTTTTTTTTACATTTGCGAGAAGTGCTAAAAAATAACAGACATAAAATCTTTGCTGATTAGTCATAGTGATACCCAGTTTATGAATCATTTGATAAGTTCTGTTTCTCTGAATCTGTCAAAGTGGTTTGCAAAGTTATCTGAATTATTCATTTCCAGACCAGTAGACTCATGGGTATCTTCAGCAGGATTCTTGATTGAGAACGTGCTGCGTGGCGCTGCAGTCATCAAATGTCAGACTAAGGCAGGCATACATTGTATTTTATAGGCATGTAGTGTGCAGTCCTTATTGGTGTTGACCTTAAACATAGCTCCAGAAGTGAGCATTTAACCACTTTGCTGTATTTGTGGGGGATCTTGTTACTGCTCATGATAAAATACTATGTTACATGAATTCCCTATGTGTTGGTGGACTTTTGTTATTTCCTGTCTTGTGCCATGTGCCTCAGGTGCTTCTCATTAACCACGACCCCTTGTTATCTTGTTAAGCTTGTTTCCCTTGTTTATAAATAGTGCTTGTGTTTCACTCCTGGTTTGTCAGTCGTGGTATACTATCACTTGTTTCTAGTGTTTCCCTGTTCCTTTATTAAAGTATTTCTGCTCTTAGATCTGCTTCCCTGCCTGCTCTTTTACCTTTGCGTAACAGACCCTAATCAAAAAGGAAAACTTCAAAGAATTACAAAACAAGGCGCAAGACAGGAAATAACTAAGTCCACCAACACATAGGGAATACACATAACATATATTGCTTTTGGGGTTAAGATTAGGGTTAGGCATCTAAAACCTTATCCATGGAGTTTTTAAATCTTATTGAGTCATTTGACTTTGTTCAGTGGGTGTACTGGTAAAATGCAATTTTCTCCCATTGCCTGCATGAGGAGCACACAATAAGAAAACATATAATAACTAAATAGTTAACATATAATAACAGTTAAAACTTTAATTAAAAAGGTATATGCTAAAGAAACAAATCACTATGGCTCTTACTGTGAGTACTGGCCCAACGCATCTACAGGGCCATAATTTGTCCATGATTTTATCTCATGGACTATCTATATCGGACATTACAATTAGCAATGCAACCTTCTCTGATCACCTGCCTGTATTTTTTTTCTGTACCATACCTTGGTCAAATTCTAAGAAATTAGCCCATGGTGCACATGTCTCATACTTTTTACCACACGATCCAGTGAAAAGTTCATTACAGCATATCATGAGGTATGGGATTCCTCAGACATGGAATCTATGCTACACAACTCGGATGCTGATCTCATTTATTTCAACTCTACTTCTTAGAAATAATAAGTTGGTGCCAGTTATCTGGCTCTCTCTTGTGTAGGACTTTGTGTTACTGTTTTACAGGGGTTTTGTTCTTATTTGTCAAGTAGGTGTTTTACTGTTCGATTGGGGCATTACTCCTCTACTAAAATTCCTCTGAGCTGTGGTGTTCCGCAAGGATCAATCCTTGGGCCTGTGTTGTTTTCCCTGTATTTGCTTCCCTTTTCTTCTATTTTTGAAAAATATGTCTCTTTTCATCTATATGCCAATGATACCCAGCTCTATCTTCCCTTACAGCTTAATAATAAATACTCTCTTCAGCCACTGTTAGATTGCCTAAACGAACATAAGTTATGGTTTTTAAGCAATTTCTTACACCTAAATGAAAACAAATCTGATATTGTTATGTTTGGTCTTAAGGAAAATGGTGCTTTTGATTTTTATCTTGGCTTCCTTGAAATCTTGAAACAGCTATCCATGCTTTTGTAACATCTCCGCTTGATTTATTGCAACTTCTTGTACTATGGTATTTCTCAGGTTTCCATTTCCAGTCTTCAGTTTGTTCAGAACACAGGCGCTAGAAAATATGACCATATAACTCCTATTTTAATGTCCCTACTCTGGCTCAAGTATAGGATTGATTTGAACCTGTTAACCTGCACCCCCCATTTTGGGACTCACAGCTAAAAATTACCTACCTAACGTAAAATGGTAACAATTCCTGACAACAGTGTGCTACACAGACAATTTTGGTGTCTTTGGAAAGAAGACCCTTTGGGCCTTACCAACCATCATCCAGAGTTGATAATGATCAAAAAGATAAAAAGTTATAGACACTGAAGTGCCTTGAAAAAAAATTGTACCACACTGAATTTTTTTCATATAAAAATACATTAAATCAATCCTGGAGCAATCCAGAAAAGTAATGGGTTGAAAGTCACATGTCTCATGAGTTTATATTTCAAATTGGAAGAAGATACCAAGAAAAATGGTTGCAGGAATCTAATTTTTCAGAGACTATGTCTAGTCCCCCTCCCCCTGTTTGAGGAAAAATAGCCACCAAATGTATTGAAGGGTTCTACAAATTATTTTACTCATTATACATACCACTGCATAGTTTTTCAATTATAAAATTAATAGACAGAATCTTAGATGTATAAGTGATTTATTTGAGCACTAGAAAAATACAATAATAAGTTGAGTAATAAAAAGGAAAAAAAAAGAATTAGCTTTGTATGTCAAGTACATACTGTGATTAGCAGACATACAGCATTCACACTGATAGCTGCTCATACAGTCAGTAATCACACGCTGATGTGTGGTCATAC